CTCTATATATATATATATATATATATATAATCCTGACGTTTGGTCCCTCTCTCTCTCTCTCTCTCTCTCTCTCTCTCTATATATATATATATATATATATATATATATATATATATATATATAATCCTGACGTTTGGTCCTATCTCTCTCTCCATATCTCTCTCTCTCTCTATATATATATATATATATATATATATATATATATATATATAAATATATATATATATATATAAAATCCTGACGTTTGGTCCTATCTCTCTCTCTCCATATCTATCTATCTATCTATCTATCTATCTATCTATCTATCTATCTATCTATCTATCTCTCTCTCTCTCTCTATGTATATATATATATAAATATAAAAGTGAACATAGAAGTCAAAACTTAGAGGCGACAGTCTGTTTCATGCTATATGCAATCGTCAGGTCCTGACGATTGCATATAGCATGAAACAGACTGTCGCCTCTAAGTTTTGACTCTATGTTCACTTTTATATTTACACACGCTCTATCTCTGATATTGAGCACTTTATCCCATAAATATAGCACACCTTAAGACTATATTTTATATATATATATATATATATATATATATATATATATATATATATATATATATATCACGCACACACAATACAATACAGGGTGATTGAAAAGTAACTCCCTATTTTATGTATGAGTGACCAGCCAGGAGTCCTTACTTAACACCCTGTGACTTTTTCCTTTGGGATTTGCTAAAGGAGCCAGTCCTTGGAAGAACTTGAAGAGTTCCTGGTGAAATCAGTTGACGCGACTACTGGTCGGCTCGAGAAACTGATAGTGTCCATGTCAAATTTTAAATAAAACCTCATGCTAAATGCTTTCCTCTCATATCCATTTCTTGTCAAAATTATGGTTAATAAATAAAGTGTAAGTATTTTAAAATGGGGAATTACTTTTCAATCACCCTGTATATATATAAGCGCCTGACAATCGGTTCTTTCTCTCTTTATCTATCTATCTATCTATCTATCTATCTATCTATCTATCTATCTATCTATCTATCTCTGTTTGTGTGTGTGTGTGTTAATCACTTGACCCCAAGCAAGGCAATAAAGCTCCTTACGATTGGTTCTATCGGATTATACGATTTCATGCTTGTATGCTTTTTCCGTGAAACTTTTAGTAATGCGTATGTTAGTTACGTTTTTAATAGGATCCACCATCTTGTCATGTATATGAAGCTTACATAAAATGCATACATAGAAATGATCATCAGACAATTCGGCGTATATAATATTAAAAAAACACATGATTCGACGTGAAGTAAATAAAAGAGAATTTTTATTATTATTTTATTTCCATCATTATCCGTATTTTATTACCATGTCATTTGCATAATTATTCACCCCCCTTCAACTTATACTTAGCTGAGCCTCCTTTAAGCCTAATCACTGCTACACTTGAAGCAATAGAGATGTATTTCTATAGAAGCATGTTGAGAATACCATAGACGGAACATTTAATCAGTAAGGAAGTTTTAAGGAAAATGCCAACAAAAGTCATTGTCTGATGCTTAATCAGAAAGAAACAGTTGAAATTTCTCCGACATATAATGAGGAAAGAGGAATATAACATTTCCAAGAAGCTTACTGGTCCTGGTAAAATCCTAGTGGTTATTCTTAAGAACATTAACGCAGATTTTTCTTAAGAACATTAGCGCAGAATTTCTCCGAATCTTAGTAAAACTATTCAACCGCAGTTTGAAGGAAAACGCTTCCCAATTCAACGGAAGGTGTCAGCTGTATGCCTTGTTTTCAAGAATGAGGGTGAGGGTTCATGCCAGTCTCCTTAGTGTCATCAACAAACACTTCGAGTCTGACATCAACAAAAAGGTTATTGGTCACCTCAACAAGAACAGTATGGATTTCGATTTGCCAAATCAATTGCTTTTGTTTCGAATACTATTATACTGCAGCTATGCTGAGCAGACCTTAGTTACAGTTTCTGGGAGAGAGCACGTTATCTAGTGTGATCAACAGCTAACACAACCACCGACGGCTTCCAAGGGTTCTGTCTACTGTGGTATGGTTTTCAGACACCTCCAGAACATCAAGAAGTAACCGTCCTCACAAATCGACCATGGTGAGATTCGAACCCGGGTCTCATGGTCTGAAGGCGAACGTTCTAACCACTCGGCCACGGGGAATTTATATGGCACCCCCCCACCCCAATGTCACACCTTGTCAAAGGTTTTTGATAAATATAAGGCGATCGTTCTCGTGATGAATTTATGGTCTCGACCCTAGCTGATTCGAAGCGTAAAGAGATTTAGGGTACCAGCAATTGACTTAGCAGATTGAAATCCATACTTCTGTGGGTGTTGAACAAAGCAGGCGACTGCAATGGGGATTATCTAGCCATATATGAGCTGGAGCTGCCCAGTCCTTACTTTCAAATACATCTACGCGCCCTTGTGGGTGATGAATTCTTTTCTACTTAAGCGCTTTTCACAAAGACGA